TGGGAAGAATCTATATTCCTGAAAATTTAGTTCTGCTTTTTCAATTAAACAGGTCTTGGCTACTACCTTTGATCCATATTTGGGTGGCAGGAACTTTGATGAGGCTTTAGTAGACTACTTCTGTGATGAGTTCAAGACCAAATATAAGATAAAAGTGAAAGAAAACTCTCGGGCCTTGTTGCGTTTATATCAGGAATGTGAAAAACTAAAGAAGCTAATGAGTGCAAATGCATCAGATCTTCCATTGAACATTGAGTGTTTCATGAATGACCTTGATGTTTCTAGTAAAATGAACAGGTACCACGTATGTTTTTAGTTTAAAAAGTGTTTACTTATTTTATAATGTTTATTTAGATCATGTCTGATTTCTTTGTTGTTGTTTTAGAAGATATGTTCAACTTTTTATCCCAGAATAATGAATTTTATCTTATTTTCTCACAGGGCTCAATTTGAACAACTGTGTGCTTCCCTTTTAGCCAGGGTTGAGCCACCTTTAAAAGCAGTAATGGAACAAGCTAGTAAGTGGAAATTACTGGACTATCAAAACTGTACCATAATGTTGCCTACTTAGCAGGGGTAAATAATGATAAAAGAAATTAATTAAACTTTGTTTTTAAAAAAGATTTGTATTTCTCCTTTAAGGGGAGATTATCACATTATTCATAAGAGTAAGGCACCATGAATCTGGGTTTCTGAGAATTCTTCCTGGCTCTTTTTATTGTTTATATCATAAAACTCATGCTAGTTCTGGCCAGACATGGTGACTGACGCCTATAATCCCAGCACTTGGGGAGGCCAAGGTGGGTGGATCACCGGAGGTCAGGAGTTCAAGACCAGCCTGGCCAGCATGGTGAAACCACGTCTCTGCTAAAAATACAAAAATTAGCCAGGCATGGTGGTAACCCCATGGTAGCTCCTGTAACCCCAGCTACTCGGGAGGCTGAGGTGGGAGAACCACTTGAACTTAGGAGGCAGAGGTAGCAGAGAGCTGAGACTGTGCCACTGCACTCCAGCCTAGGCAACAGAGTGAGATTCTGTCTCAAAAAAAAAAAAAAGTAGAAATGGGGACATGATTGCTTTTTCATAAGGATTTTGGTAATTAATTAAAAATGTCATCTATGGGATTTGGAAGGTGAAAATAAAATTGAAGGACTCTGAAGAGGTCCTTTAAAACCCATGAAATGCTTTTCTTTTCCTGTTGCCTGCCACTTCATCATCTGGACCAAGTGCATTGCCTGTCACATAAATAATTAATATTTATTAAATTTTACCTTTTCCTAAAAATTATATTTTTCTTTCCATTTTATTTTCTGACAAGAAGTTCCACTTTTTAAAGAAGTACTTGACAAAGCCTTCTGTTCATATTTTTAAAGACTGTCATTTTTCTCGATTAAAAAAATTTTCCAGACTTACAACGTGAAGATATTAGTAGTATAGAAATTGTAGGAGGAGCAACACGAATTCCTGCAGTGAAAGAACAGATCACCAAATTCTTTCTTAAAGACATAAGTACCACATTAAATGCTGATGAAGCTGTTGCAAGAGGATGTGCATTACAGGTATAATTGTTACTTTATTTTTCAGAATACATATTTTGCCAGATATGAGTGATAGCTCCAAAGGGATCTTTTTTTTTTTTAATTGTACATTAAGTTCTGGGGTACAACTTGCAGGATTGTTGCATAGGTACCCACATGCCATGGTAGTTTGTTGTCTCCTCCCCCTGTCATCTACATTAGGCATTTCTCCCAGTGTTATCCCTCCCCAAGCTCCCTGCTCCCCATTGTCCCTCCCCAGCCCCCTACTCCCCAACATACCCCAGTATGTGTTGTTCCCCTCCCTGTGCCTATGTGTTCTCATTGTTCAGCACCTGCCTATGAGTGAGAACATGTGGTGTTTGGTTTTCTGTTCTTGTGTCAGTTTGCTGAGAATGATGGTTTCGAGCTTTATCCATGTCCCTACAAAGGACATGAATCCATCCTTTTTATGGCTGCGTAGTATTCCATGGTGTATATGTGCCACATTTTCGTTATCCAGTCTATCATTGATGGGCATTTGGGCTGGTTCCAGGTTTTGCTATTGTAAAAAGTACTGCAGGGAACATATGTGTGCCTGTGTCTTTATAATAGAATGATTTATGATCCCAAAGGGATCTTTTAATGTTATTTGCTTCATCCACTTGTCAGTAAGCTAAAGTAAATTGAAGTTATTTCTGATAAATAAGTTTTGTATCTTTCCCATTTATATTTTTAAGCTATAATAGGACAGTGTGTCTGTAACGACACTGAAAGAATATTTATTTTACAAATTCTCGCAGTCTGCTGGAATTTAAATTTCCTTTTGCAGATGTAAAAATATTTGGTTCATTTTTGTAAGGTCACATAAAGTGTACTCTGGGCCTTTCAAATTTTCAATCCTCATTGCCAAAAACCAGTAACTTTTAAAATGTAGCAATTGTAATAGGAGGACTTTATTAAGCAGTTCAGAGTGACCTAGGGTATGATTTGTATTTGTTGATTTAAATATGGTATACATCTTATTTTCAGTGTGCGATTCTCTCACCAGCATTTAAAGTGCGTGAATTTTCCATAACAGACCTTGTTCCTTACTCAATCACATTAAAGTGGAAGACCTCTTTTGAAGATGGAACTGGGTAAGTTATTTTTAAAACCTTGATTAGAGCTTGTTGTAAATCTTTAACCAATTAAACCTACTTTTCTAAATTAGAAAAATTTACACATTTTAAAATTCTGTTAAATACTTTTAGATAAAGTATTTAAAAAAGAAAATATAAAAATGCTACATGACCTATAAATCATAATTAGGCATATTTTTTCCCCAGGGTTCTTACTCTATTTATTTTTATTTTTTTCCCATTTATTTATTTTATTGCATTTTAGGCTTGGGGGTACATGTGAAGAACATGCAAGATTGTTGCATAGGTACACATGTGGCAGTGTGATTTGCTGCCTTCCTCCCCATCACCTACATTTGGCATCTCTCCCTTGCTATCTCTCCACAACTCCCCACCCCCCACCGTCCCTCCCCTATTTCCCCCCAACTGACCCCAGTGTGTAGTGCTCCCCTCCCTGTGTCCATGTGTTCTCATTGTTCAACACCCGCCTATGAGTGAGAAC